CAACGAAAACATATTAAAAAAGTCAAAACTAAAACTATATTCAATAAGCATACATTTAGATCTGTAGTCTAAACAAAAAGATAACACACATTGTATAATTGCCTAAAATTTAGGAAAACTGTAAATCTTAAGTCTTCATGTATAAGGTCCGATCGGAAATAAACTCAGGCTACAGATATAAGTAACAAAATTATGAGTACCATCATAAAAAAAACACCTAATGTAATTTGGTTTTACATATACACCGGTCTGACAAACCAGTGATTGTTATAGTGAGCCACGTCTCACAACCTCTGTCAGAGTACAATGACACACAATCATGTTAGTACAAACATGGTTTGTTGGGGACCTTTTCTAAACCGGAATCCAAACGGGAACAGATATATTTGACAGGCATTGTAGCTAATTACGACTCACATCTTCATCGCAGCGCTGTTTATATAGATCTAGCTACAGTACGATTTCGTAGCTAGCACTGGAACTTACTCGTTCAGTTTTCGATCACCATTTTATTATCTCTCATTGCCAAAACGTTTCAGAGAACCAAGTATCATATACTTACTACGTTTATTAACATAATACAGTTCAATATCGTTAAATATAATTCTGTAGTATGGTAGCCTACCTGGCAACATACGGAGATCGAAAACCGAACGAATATGGTTGCTATCAATTCCATTGTATTTTTCATTGGTGCACATTGACTAGATCTACACCTATCTCACATTAATAATCAACAAACGATGACCAAATCACTGACAATGTATGGTGATATTTAACTTTTGATTATCGACTAGCTTATCATCACCAGCGAGAACAATACCGCAAACACCCCGTTATAGCGCGCGACGAGACTCGTTTTACTTTTGCTCGTTTTCATTAGAAGGGAGTCGGACATAGATCTAGTTATCGGAAAATAATGAATTGATTCTTTTTTTGGGAAATAATAAAAATACACATGATAAGCGCCTTGCTCAAATAAACTTTATAGACAGCACCAACAACCATATGATCCACATTTAGGCTACTTCAGTCAGTGCTAATTGGGCCTTTTCGGGAACAAGTATGTTTCTGTCTCTTCCCGAAAATACAATTGTTCATAACATCATTGAGCCCTTTAGACTAGGGCTATAACTAGCAGCCTACAGAGAGTCGATCTGAAAATACTTCCATTGTTTTGATTCCCTCTCTTCGCTGTATAAGAGAAATCTACTCAACCTTTCCCATGGCCTGAATGAGCCACATTGTTTCACAAAAATCAAAGTCAGAATATTAGTACATGTAAACTTTCAGATTTCAGAAATAACACGGAAGAAATGGCGATAACTGTCAGTGGTCAGTAGGCGATGCATACGTTAGGCCTATTTAGGCCTACAGACCTTATACGATTTACGATCGAAACCCGAACATAATATGACGACCACAAAACGCCGCCAGACTGAATTCTGGTCAAACATATACCTACTCCTTGCCCTTGGTAATTACCCTTGGTATCCATAAAATAATAATATGGTAAAAAGTCATGGGCTTCCTTCACCTCTATATACATCACGTTCTGTGTATCAAATATTACTATCAACACTGACGCTCAGCTCGGTGAAAGTGACCGGCAAACTGCATTCTAAACCCCGCCACTTCTGAATAATACGATACATTTAAATCATTTGACTATCTGCATGTACAGAAACATATCAACAAGCGGAGACTGCTTTTGAAAAATAACTTACCTTATCCGAATTCACAGATCATCTGTCCAGTTCCCGTTGCTGCACAATCACTTGGTTGTAATATATCCATATTGAGTTTGAACTAAGATGGCTGGTGACAACAAATCTTCCGCGACAATGTGACGTCATTTTGACGTCACTTCACGAGGCAACAGGCTAACCTTTCAGCAGTCGCTCTCACGCCGCAAAAAATGCGCGCCAATGTGTTTTTAACAGTAATTTTGCTTTAGACAACATTTAGTAGACAGATAACTTCGTTCATAGATATGTATGTTTAAAAAAAATAAAACTACGAGATGGTAGATCTGCAAGTTGTTTCCTAAACATCATTTACAAAAAGTGTTGTAATGTCCAAAGCATAACGTTATCACAACGTTAATTTGCAACGTTGTTGTTACGTTGTGGAATAACGTAACCATGTAACGTAATACTGACGTTGTAATAGCGATACGCAATTACGTTCTGGAAATTTTAGTATTAAGAGATGAAAATTCAAATGCCGAATATACAGAAAGGTAATGCATTACTGCCTTGGTATTCTGACAAATTCATGTTGATTTTGATAAAGCAGTTCTATTCCTTTATGACTATCAAGAAGCAAACTTTATAACGTTTCACCGACGTTTCAGAAACGTAGTTACAAAACGTTGTGCGATGTCCGATGCACAACGTTTTCACAACGTGAATGTGCAACGTTGTTATAACGTTGTGAAATAACGTTGCACGTTGACGTTATAATAACGTTGTGACAACGTTATTTCACGACGTTACCAATCCACAACCTTTCCACAACGTTGTGACAACGTCGTGTGTTAGCTGGGGGAAGAATAAGCACGCGTTTTGGTATTACACAATGTGTAATACAGCTGTATTTTTATTGAACGGGTGATCTCTTCACGGGCAAGTTATAAATCGCTTGATCTCATCCAAGCGATATCTCCTGTGGGAGCCAGTTTTGGATGATAAAATCGCTTTCCCTCTCTCACAAACATTACCGAAACATTGCGAGTTTTCCTGGAATGCGCGCATTAATATTTATTACGTCACAGGGTAAGTGATGTGTCAGTCGGACAGTGACAGTAGCCAATATAGTTCCAACTGAAATCTGCTTCTTATACACTTGCGAAGCAACATATACACAAAACAACAACTGTTTTTACTTGTTTTTCGCGGCAGTCCATAGATCTGTCCGCTAGAGTAACTGCCCTTTCTCAAAGGGAAGCTACTCTAACCCTAGTCTATGAGACGTCACGGCCGCGTTCAGGCGTTGTTGACAGTCGGCCTGTTCTGTCATAACGTTAAAAAGTGCAGTCAGGTGTACACACAGCGTCAAAACGAAACAAGGCAACAATTCAAACAAATTTCGCCCAAATCTAACTATTTGTATTTGTGGAAAAGGTTTCAAGCAGCAGAGGTCTACAAGCACAGATGTGGGTACTGATCCGAGTGCCCTCGCAAAATGGTTTCAAAATGTATATCTCCAAAGTTGCCAAAACTTATAAAATGCCTTAGTTACGTCACAGTTGGACACTAATTTTCAGAACATTAGACTGTTCTTTTGATAATGATAGCAATTATCCCTGTAGTTTATCCAGATTCCCGATGGTTAATGCTGTTTGTGTATAAACACTGAAAGTAGTCCCTACTTGACCTTTGATATTTGCATCCCTATCCGAATATGACCCCAACGGATACGTTTTTATCCGTTGGCTTTATCCTGCCGAGAAACCTACCCATTGTATGATAAATATATAGTATTCTGCATATGTATTTGTTTATTATGCAGATTTGCCAGTGGCAACGTTTGCCGTGTACGCATTGTTACTGGTATTACCAGTACAGGTTTCACCTATCTGGTATGTAATCAGATATTGTATAAATATTCTATCTTTCATGATTTTTAATTCTTACCAAAGTTACATACAGTATGTTCGTTATCACTTTATTATCAGATTAATATATTTTGTATCTGTGCATTGATGCATTGATGCATTGATGTATTGTGTAAAGTAAGTTCTATTTATTTAATGAAAGTGATATCTCTATTTTAGAAATTCAAAGAGTAACAGATTGTATATATTTAATAGATTCTATGTTATACTGCTTCTGTTGTACTTGCTTATACTTTGCTTATGTTGTACTTGCTTAAACCTTGCTTATGTTGTAATTGCTTATACTTTGCTTATGTTGTACTTGCTTATACTTTGCTTATGTTGTACTTGCTTATACTTTGCTTATGTTGTACTTGCTTATACTTTGCTTATGATGTACTTGCTTATACTTTGCTTATGTTGTACTTGCTTATACTTTGCTTATGATGTACTTGCTTATACTTTGCTTATGTTGTACTTGCTTATACTTTGCTTATGATGTACTTGCTTATACTTTGCTTATGTTGTACTTGCTTATACTTTGCTCATGTTGTACTTGCTTATACTTTGCTTATGTTGTACTTGCTTATACTTTGCTTATGTTGTACTTGCTTATACTTTGCTTATGTTGTACTTGCTTATACTTTGCTTATGTTGTACTTTCATTGTTTCAGGCTGAAGTAAGTATATGTACGTACATGCGTACCTAGCATATTAATAAACGTCATCAACCTCACCCCAACAGCTGTTTGTGATTATTTGGACTAATAGTACTCCACTACAGCCAATACAAGCACGGTTACAATAAGAGTATCGTCCATTGTACGACCATCAATATGTGAATTAGAATCAACCCTGATTGCCAGAAACGTGGTAACCTCAGGTGACTCAGGTCACTCCAGTTTTCATAATTGAACAGACGTTTTAGCTCTAGATCTACCCGTCTTTAGCGCTGGCTTGCGAAGTATTTCTTCTTTATACTTTCAGTGTTTGTTATACATGTGAGGAAAGTGGGGATGTAAGGAACACTGTTTGAGCAACTGCACGTCATAAAGCGCTGGTGTTGTTTCTTTGACACAGGTTGACAACCAACTCAAAACTCGACTCGCACCATCCCGCTTCAATCAACATCTTCGCTAAGTCCGTAGACCTATAACATAATATTAAGTCATGGACGCGTTGCTTGTTGAATTCTCCGGTGTAGGCCCGGTTAAATACGCCTGGTTCGGATTTTAAGGGTTGATCACGTGACAAAACATCACATGATACTTATTCCACTTCCGGTTTGTGAAAAGGCGAGTAGTTTGACATGTTACAGACTCTTATACACCCGTACATGTAAATGCACATTTGACATTTCAGTAATGTGATGCATATAACGGTCACATACTTGTCTTTTCAGATCCTGCAGCCCAGAGTAGCAATTTTTTTATTTAGCGACACGAGGAGTTAGAAGGAGGCGTGCCGGCGAAAATGGCAGCCCCTGGAACAACTACAGCCGACTGGGAGTTTGACAAATTTGATGATGGATCTTTAAGTAAGGACAATGACACTATTAGTAACCAGGTGGCAAACTTTGACCCTTGTATAACAGGCCGGGATGTCAAAGATCTTTTCTAAGGAGATTTCAGTTGAAAACGGCAGAATTATTGTTGCGATGTATGAAAGTTGGTGAATGCGAGGGTTGTCTTCTCTTTCTATGGATGGATTGTTCAACTCGTGATTCTTATGCAGAATATGCCCCAACACATCCACAAGCCAATTTTTGATGAGAGCAAGAAGGATCTAAGTCTCTCCAACATCGCCTGTGACGTCACTGGACTGTCAGTGAAATTCAATCAACTCTGAGGTCATTTTGGAATTGACAGAAATGGTGTTTGAATTATTTTGTTTTAGTGTGTGACCTGGCAAGTTGAGTATTTGTTGACCCTGACACTGCAACTTGTCATTATCAGTAAGATCACTGCATAACGTGTCTGGTTCAGATTTTGTATTAGGCCTACTTGCAATTACAGTTGAGGATCGAAACTCACCTTGCCAGCTTCAAACTAAGCTGGGCTGATGAGTTTATCCAATTTGCCAACACTTCACAAGGGGCACTATCATTAATAATTAGTGCTTGTTTATCAAGTGATCACCTCCTGATTGTTTACCTTGATGCACATATGTGATAGCCATTGTCCCCCGCCTAACTTAAAACTTGATAAAAATTTACAACCCAAAGGGTCATTAAGGGTTGTATGATTGTCAGGGGTACCTAATGGTAGAAAAAGTCTGCCTGATCAGAAAAGGGACCCAAGGGCTAAGGATATAGTTTGGGGGAACCTACCCTAACACAATTGACCCTTAGGGTTGAAGAGGCATGCAAGATCTGTGACGCAAGGGCCAATTAGTGTTCGAGGCTTCACTTGTTAAACTGCAGTGCTGACGTGTGTTTTAATAAATTTTAAAAAATTGTTTTTCTCCGATGTGGTTGTACTTCTACTCTTATATATACATTTTAACCAAATTAACATTTCAACCTTTCACAAGAGGCTCTTATTATTCTAAACCTCCTAAACCTTGCTGCAGTTTCCTATCATATTTACCTGCGTGTATCTTTTCAGAAATAGTTGGAGAACTACAGCTGAAGAAATATGGTAATTTTCTTGAGGACTATGCGTCACAGCTAAAGGATATTGAAGATGCTTTGGACGACTCAATAGGTGATTCCTGGGACATGACACTTGACCCTATAGCTCTCCAGGTATGGTATATACACATACTTGTGTATGGGATCATCTCTCCTCATGTCAGAGTAGTTCAAGCAAGAAATGTTGCAATAACAATATCCTAGACAAGATGAAAATGACTGGATAAGCTACAAGGTTATCACTGATCATGATTTAACCACACACCTAAGCCAGAGTCCAGTAACCTTTTGACTGTAAACTTAACATGCTTCAATGAGAATAGTCCTTATCTTATTGCTTGAATCTATACTAACAGAAATTCCATCCAATTCCAACCACAAACAGGGAGATTGGTAGAAATTGTGTGTAGAGCTGATTACTATTTCCAGCTTAGTTTACTACGAGAAAATACACACAGTAATCTTAATCCTTGCATATAAGACAATGTCTAGCGGGACGGGAAATGCAATTTAAATGGTAAATCACTGTGTCTAGTAATGTATTATCACAAATTTAGGATTTTTATTGACCAAGATTGTTCTCACCCATTTGTTTACCTGAATTCACTGAATTAGTAGTTTTTTACTGCGTGCGATTCCCGACTAATCTTATACATTATGTAAGAGTTTTTTTGCCTTAAAAGAATTTTTGTAGAGGAGGCAGCTAACTAAGGATTCAGATATCCAAACATTTGGACAATATTTGAGAAAATGCAAGTGTCCGGATAAGTTAGGTTCGACTGTACTTAAAATATTACTTAAGAGGCAGGTTGTAGACTGAGTTGGGCACAGCTTACAGATACCAGGGTTACAGATGTTGTGTAGATAAGTACTTCCAAAGGTGCACTCTTTATTGATCATTTGAACTTCCGTCGTCACACTGGTTCATGTGTTTTCAGTTTCTGCCGTACGAACAAACCAGCTTGCTTCAGCTGATTAGAACAGACAACAAGATCTTCAACAAGATCATCACAGTTCTAGCTTCCTTGTGTTCTGAAATGGACACCTTGAAACACGAAGCAGAGACCAAGTTCTTTAATGCCTTGTTGTTCTATGGGGAAGGAGGTGAGAACTAGCATGACCATTCAACGGTGGATATATCCATTCTGTTGTCATATATACCTTGTCACCATTAGCTTCTGTTTATTCATTTGAGTCCAGTTCAAATGACACGATGCTAATAATAGCTGTCCAATCAAAATACACTGGGGTGAGAGAGAGATTCTGTGGGAAGTTGCTGATGGAGGAACAGGGATGTTGATGCTATGTCCTAAACAATGCTAGACAGCAGGGTATTTATCATGAAAGAATACACTGGATAATACACTTGAGGAGGTGATGACATGCAGTATACTTGATGTGTCGCGTTGTGACTAATCCAAACTTGAACAGAGTTGACAGATTTCTTGCGCAACCTTATTATGAGATAATTGTTGGGATCAGTGATTGACATTAATTGAAAATAGATACTAGCCAAAATGTGTAGTGAATAGAATCTAGTAGCGAATATCTGCAGTGAATAGAAGCTACTAGCCCATATGTCAAGTGAATAGAATCTACTAGCCAATATTTGCAGTGAATAGAATCTACAAGCCAATATCTGCAGTGAAGAGAATCTACTAGCCAATATCTGCAGTGAATAGAATCTACTAGCCAATATCTGCAGTGAATAGAAGCTACTAGCCCATATGTCAAGTGAATAGAAGCTACTAGCCCATATGTCAAGTGAATAGAATCTACTAGCCAATATGTGCAGTGAATAGAATCTACTAGCAATATCTGCAGTGAATAGAATCTACTAGCCAATATCTGCAGTGAATAGAATCTACTAGCCAATATCTGCAATGAATAGAATATACTAGCCAATATCTGCAGTGAATAGAAGCTACTAGCCCATATGTCAAGTGAATAGAATCTACTAGCCAATATGTGCAGTGAATAGAATCTACTAGCCAATATCTGCAGTGAATAGAATCGACTAGCCAATATCTGCAGTGAATAGAAGCTACTAGCTCATATGTGCAGTGAATAGAAGCAACTAGCCCATATGTCAAGTGAATAAAATCTACCAGCCAATATCTGCAGTGAATAGAATCTACTAGCCAATATCTGCAGTGAATAGAATCTACTAACCAATATCTGCAGTGAATAGAATCTACTAGCCAATATCTGCAGTGAATAGAATCTACTAGCCAATATGTGCAGTGAATAGAATCTACTAGCCAATATCTGCAGTGAATAGAATCTACGAGCCAATATGTGCAGTGAATAGAATCTACGAGCCAATATGTGCAGTGAATAGAATCTACGAGCCATATGTCAAGTGAATAGAAGCTACTAGCCAATATGTGCAGTGAATAGAATCTACGAGCCAATATCTGCTGTGAATAGAATCTACTAGCCAATACGCGCAGTGAATAGAATCTACTAGCCAATACGTGCAGTGAATAGAATCTACTAGCCAGTATGCGCAGTGAATAGAATCTACTTGCCAATATGTGTAGTGAATAGAGTAACAGTAATTTTCAGGGACGTAGTTTGTCCCAATGTCTTTTCTAAACGTCTCGTAGAAACATAAGAGTTGTAGGATAATATTTTATAGTGTCCGTGTGCTTGACCAGCATGTTTGTAGAGCTGTGGACATTGTTGTAACTTGCAGAACCTGAGACAGGCCTAGAAGATGGAGATGCGCAGGTGCAGATGGGGAAGGTCATCCCATTGCTTCAGGTAGAGTTGCTCGTTGTTTTGATGTACAATACAGACTACCACCGCATCACATTGAGTGGTGCATCTGAAATCTGTCAAAGTTCCATTATTGCAGTAATAATGGTGAGAATTGGTCTTCAGCAACCCATGTCATGTTGATGGGTATGAGTCAATTGTCCTTCTTTACCTATTTGAGTGAGTCTATGGACTCTTTTCTCAGTGAGATGACTGGGTTTTCCTCACAAAATGTTGTATATGCAGTATCGAGATACGTGTGACGGTATGGTATCTTGGCTTCTGTATCGAGATACGTATCATATCATGTGATACCTGTATTGTGACATCCCTATAGATTCCTGGATTGTGTGGTCCATATTCCTGGATTGTGTGGTCCAGACTCCTGGATTGTGTGGTCCATACTCCTGGATTGTGTGGTCCAGACTCCTGGATTGTGTGGTCCATACTCCTGGATTGTGTGGTCCAGATTCCTGGATTGTGTGGTCCAGACTCCTGGATTGTGTGGTCCATACTCCTAGATTGTGTGGTCCAGATTCCTGGATTGTGTGGTCCATATTCCTGGATTGTGTGGTCCAGATTCCTGGATTGTGTGGTCCATACTCCTAGATTGTGTGGTCCATACTCCTGGATTGTGTGGTCCAGAGTCCTGGATTGTGTGGTCCAGATTCCTGGATTGTGTGGTCCAGAGTCCTGGATTGTGTTGTCCAGATTCCTGGATTGTGTGGTCCAGATTCCTGGATTGTGTGGTCCATACTCCTAGATTGTGTGGTCCAGACTCCTGGATTGTGTGGTCCATACTCCTAGATTGTGTGGTCAAGATTCCTGGATTGTGTGGTCCATAGTCCTGGATTGTGTGGTCCATAGTCCTGGATTGTGTGGTCCATACTCCTGGATTGTGTGGTCCATACTCCTGGATTGTGTGGTCCATAGTCCTGGATTGTGTGGTCCAGACTCCTTGATTGTGTGGTCCATACTCCTAGATTGTTTGGTCCAGATTCCTGGATTGTGTGGTCCAGATTCCTGGATTGTGTGGTCCAGATTCCTGGATTGTGTGGTCCATACTCCTAGATTGTGTGGTCCAGACTCCTGGATTGTGTGGTCCATACTCCTAGATTGTGTGGTCCAGATTCCTGGATTGTGTGGTCCATAGTCCTGGATTGTGTGGTCCATAGTCCTGGATTATGTGGTCCATACTCCTGGATTGTGTGGTCCATACTCCTGGATTGTGTGGTCCATAGTCCTGGATTGTGTGGTCCAGACTCCTTGATTGTGTGGTCCATACTCCTAGATTGTGTGGTCCAGATTCCTGGATTGTGTGGTCCATAGTCCTGGATTGTGTGGTCCATACTCCTGGATTGTGTGGTCCATACTCCTGGATTGTGTGGTCCATAGTCCTGGATTGTGTGGTCCAGATTCCTGGATTGTGTGGTCCAGATTCCTGGATTGTGTGGTCCATAGTCCTGGATTGTGTGGTCCATACTCCTGGATTGTGTGGTCCAGATTCCTGGATTGTGTGGTCCAGATTCCTGGATTGTGTGGTCCATAGTCCTGGATTGTGTGGTCCATACTCCTGGATTGTGTCATCCAGACCACGCCATTGGGATATGATGACATGCATCATCCAAGTCAGCAAGCCTGAACACCTGATCCCGTTAGTCGCCAGTTATGCAAGCAAAGCCGCCTTTTGCGGCAAGCATGGGTTGCTGAAGACCTATTGTAGCCCAGATCATCAAGGGGGGGGGGGGGGGGGGGGGGGGAGGAGGGAGGTACAAGCATGGGTTGACCTATTCTAGCCTGAATCTTCATAGGTTTCATGTATGGACACAAATTGTCCATGTATGTGACGGTTACATGTAACACCAGGTTGATTTGTACAATCTCTGCCTTTATGTACAAGAGTACAAGCCAATGTAATCTGATTGTATTTGAAGATGAAATATTTCTTTCCACTTCAGCTGTCAACTTGGTCAAGTTGATTGAGTTGTGGCCCATGTTGTTCTGACTGAGGCTGGAGTAGGTTTGTAACGTGTTTGTTCATGTCACTGCAGGAGCTGCACTGTTTTGTAACACGTTCGTATGAAGTCGTCAAGAATGTGGTCCAGCAGTTTGCCAGCCTCTACAGCAATACCAGGTGATACACACGACCTCACATAGCCATACTCATAGTGTTAGTGAGATCAGGCCCCTAGTCTGTAGCAAAGGACAGTATACATTACCAATTCCTATTGGGATAACACTTTCTGAGTGAAGTACAAATTCTCATACTTACCATGCTTACGGGACACAACCCCAAAAAGTACAAGAATCTGTACTTTACTCAGAAAGTGTTATCCCAAATATAACATTTGTTACAATATCACCATTTGTTCCCAATTTACCTGCTAAAGGCACTTAGTTTAGAATCTTAGATAAATCTGTGCTAGTTTGCCTGGTCCAAGATCAATTAAAACAACTCTTGGGTTCTATTCCGAGGCATAACTCTCAAACTAATGAATATTGTGAATGAAACTATAAATGAGCAATTACCACGTGGTCTACTATTGTCCTTTCATATTTTTAATTTTTTAAATTTAAAATTTCTTTTTAATTTCCTGTATTTCAATGGAAATAATTTGGAAAGTATCTCATCTGCTTGCACAATACAATATATGATACAAGCTGCTGTGACAAGTTCAATAGTGTTTTCTGCCATGAAGAGTTAACATGGCATCAAGTTTAATGCTGCTTCATTAATGCATTAGTTACAATCTGTACATCTGTCAGGATTGGGTCCAGTGTTAATGTACTATCGGTTTCTGTAGTCAATACATCCCTTGTTTCTTACAGGAGTGGGCCCAAACTGATAGATGTGACTGATGTCCACTTTCAGGTAAATGGGGAAAGAATACTAGTCATTGAGCCATTGATGGACAGGTAAATAAGGAAAGAATACTAATCATTGAGCCATTGATTGACAGGTAAATAAGGAAAGAATACTAGTCATTGAGCCATTGATTGACAGGTAAATAAGGAAAGAATACTAGTCATTGAGCCATTGATTGACAGGTAAATAAGGAAAGAATACTAGTCATTGAGCCATTGATTGACAGGTAAATAAGGAAAGAATACTAGTCATTGAGCCATTGATTGACAGGTAAATGAGGATGAAATACTAGTCATTGGGCCATTGATTGACAGGTAAATGAGGAAAGGCTACTAGTCATTGAGCCATTGATTGACAGGAAAATAAGGAAAGAATACTAGTCATTGAGCCATTGACTGACAGGAAAATAAGGAAAGAATACTAGTCATTGAGCCATTGATTTACAGGTAAATGAGGAAAGGATACTATTCATTGAGCCATTGACTGACAGGTAAATAAGGAAAGAATACTAGTCATTGAGCCATTGATTTACAGGTAAATGAGGAAAGGATACTAGTCATTGAGCCATTGATTTACAGGTAAATAAGGAAAGAATACTAGTCATTGAGCCATTGACTGACAGGTAAATAAGGAAAGAATACTAGTCATTGAGCCATTGATTGACAGCTAAATGAGGATGAAATACTAGTCATTGAGCCATTGACTGACAGGTAAATAAGGAAAGAATACTAGTCATTGAGCCATTGATTGACAGGTAAATGAGGAAAGGATACTAGTCATTGAGCCATTGATTGACAGGTAAATAAGGAAAGAATACTAGTCATTGAGCCATTGATTGACAGGTAAATGAGGATGAAATACTAGTCATTGAGCCATTGATTGACATGTAAATAAGGAAAGAATACTAGTCATTGAGCCATTGATTGACAGGTAAATAAGGAAAGAATACTAGTCATTGAGCCACTGATTGACAGGTAAATGAGGAAAGGATACTAGTCATTGAGCCATTGACTGACAGGTAAATAAGGAAAGAATACTAGTCATTGAGCCATTGATTGACAGGTAAATAAGGAAAGAATACTAGTCATTGAGCCATTGATTGACGGGTAAATGAGGATGAAATACTAGTCATTGAGCCATTGATTGACAGGTAAATAAGGAAAGAATGCTAGTCATTGAGCCATTGATTGACAGGTAAATAAGGAAAGAATGCTACTAGATGTGTGTGTTGTGTTTGCCCTACTTATGTATGTGGTGTACTGCAGGTTTATTTGCCCTACTGATGTATGTGGTGTACTGCAGGTTTATTTGCCCTACTGATGTATGTGGTCTCCTGCAGGTTTATTTGCCCTACTGATGTATGTGGTCTCCTGCAGGTTGTGTTTGCCCTACTGATGTATGTGGTGTACTGTAGGTTGTGTTTGCCCTACTGATGTATGTGGTCTCCTGCAGGTTGTGTTTGCCCTACTGATGTATGTGGTCTGCTGTAGGTTGTGTTTGCCCTACTGATGTATGTGGTGTACTGTAGGTTGTGTTTGCCCTACTGATGTATGTGGTCTCCTGTAGGTTGTGTTTGCCCTACTGATGTATGTGGTGTGCTGTAGGTTGTGTTTGCCCTACTGATGTATGTGGTGTACTGTAGGTTGTGTTTGTCCTACTGATGTATGTGGTCTCCTGCAGGTTGTGTTTGCCCTACTGATGTATGTGGTGTACTGTAGGTTGTGTTTGCCCTACTGATTTATGTGGTGTACTGTAGGTTGTGTTTGCCCTACAGATGTATGTGGTGTGCTGTAGGTTGTGTTTGCCGTACTGATGTATGTGGTGTGCTGTAGGTTGTGTTTGCCCTACTGATGTATGTGGTGTGCTGTAGGTTGTGTTTGCCCTACAGATGTATGTGGTGTGCTGTAGGTTGTGTTTGCCCTACTGATGTATGTGGTGTACTGTAGGTTGTGTTTGTCCGAATGATGTATGTGGTGTACTGCAGGTTGTGTTTGCCCTACAGATGTATGTGGTCTCCTGCAGGTTGTGTTTGCCCTACTAATGTATGTGGTGTACTGTAGGTTGTGTTTGCCCTACTGATGTATGTGGTCTCCTGTAGGTTGTGTTTGCCCTACTGATGTATGTGGTGTGCTGTAGGTTGTGTTTGCCTTACTGATGTATTTGGTGTACTGTAGGTTGTGTTTGTCCTACTGATGTATGTGGTCTCCTGTAGGTTGTGTTTGCCCTACTGATGTATCTGGTGTACTGTAGGTTGTGTTTGCCCTACTGATTTATGTGGTGTACTGTAGGTTGTGTTTGCCCTACAGATGTATGTGGTGTGCTGTAGGTTGTGTTTGCCCTACTGATGTATGTGGTGTGCTGCAGGTTGTGTTTGCCCTACTGATGTATGTGGTGTACTGTAGGTTGTGTTTGTCCTACTGATGTATGTGGTCTCCTGTAGGTTGTGTTTGCCCTACTGATGTATGTGGTGTGCTGTAGGTTGTGTTTGCCGTACTGATGTATGTGGTCTCCTGCAGGTTGTGTTTGCCCTACTGATGTATGTGGTCTCATGTAGGTTGTGTTTGCCCTACTGATATATGTGGTCATCTGTAGGTTGTGTTTGCCCTACTGATTTATGTGGTCTCCTGCAGGTTGTGTTTGCCCTACTGATGTATGTGGTGTACTGTAGGTTGTGTTTGCCCTACTGATGTATGTGGTCAACTGCAGGTTGTGTTTGCCCTACAGATGTATGTGGTCTCCTGTAGGTTGTGTTTGCCCTAATGATGTATGTGGTCTCCTGTAGGTTGTGTTTCCCCTACTGATGTATGTGGTGTACTGTAGGTTGTGTTTGCCCTAATGATGTATGTGGTCTCCTGTAGGTTGTGTTTGCCCTACTGATGTATGTGGTCTCCTGTAGGTTGTGTTTGCCCTACTGATGTATGTGGTCTCCTGTAGGTTGTGTTTGCCGTACTGATGTATGTGGTCTCCTGTAGGTTGTGTTTGCCCTACTGATGTATGTGGTGTACTGTAGGTTGTGTTTGCCCTACTGATGTATGTGGTCTCCTGCAGGTTGTGTTAGCCCTACTGATGTATGTGGTCTCCTGCAGGTTGTGTTTGCCCTACTGATGTATGTGGTGTTCTGTAGGTTGTGTTTGCCCTACTGATGTATGTGGTCTCCTGTAGGTTGTGTTTGCCCTACTGATGTTTGTGGTCTCCTGTAGGTTGTGTTTGCCCTACTGATGTGTGTGGTCTCCTGTAGGTTGTGTTTGCCCTACTGATGTATGTGGTGTACTGTAGGTTGTGTTTCCCTACTGATGTATGTGGTCTCCTGCAGGTTGTGTTTGCCCTACTGATGTATGTGGTGTACTGTAGGTTGTGTTTGCCCTACAGATGTATGTGGTCTCCTGTAGGTTGTGTTTGCCCTACAGATGTATGTGGTGTACTGTAGGTTGTGTTTGCCCTACTGATGTATGTGGTCTCCTGTAGGTTGTGATTGCCCTACTGATGTATGTGGTCTCCTGCAGGTTGTGTTTGCCCTACTGATGTATGTGGTCTCCTGCAGGTTGTGTTTGCCCTACTGATGTGTGTGGTCTCCTGCAGGTTGTGTTTGCCCTACTGATGTGTGTGGTGTACTGTAGGTTGTGTTTCCCCTACTGATGTATGTGGTCTCCTGTAGGTTGTGTTTGCCCTACTGATGTATGTGGTCTCCTGTATGTTGTGTTTCCCCTACTGATGTATGTGGTCTCCTGTAGGTTGTGTTTGCCCTAATGATGTATGTGGTCTCCTGTAGGTTGTGTTTGCCCTACTGATGTATGTGGTCTCCTGTAGGTTGTGTTTGCCCTACTGATGTATGTGGTCTCCTGTAGGTTGTGTTTGCCGTACTGATGTATGTGGTCTCCTGTAGGTTGTGTTTGCCCTACTGATGTATGTGGTGTACTGTAGGTTGTGTTTGCCCTACTGATGTATGTGGTCTCCTGCAGGTTGTGTTTGCCCTACTGATGTATGTGGTGTACTGTAGGTTGTGTTTGCCCTACTGATGTATGTGGTCTCCTGTAGGTTGTGTTTGCCCTACTGATTTTTGTGGTCTCCTGTAGGTTGTGTTTGCCCTACTGATGTGTGTGGTCTCCTGTAGGTTGTGTTTGCCCTACTGATGTATGTGGTGTACTGTAGGTTGTGTTTGCCCTACTGATGTATGTGGTCTCCTGCAGGTTGTGTTTGCCCTACTGATGTATGTGGTGTACTGTAGGTTGTGTTTGCCCTACAGATGTATGTGGTCTCCTGTAGGTTGTGTTTGCCCTACTGATGTATGTGGTGTACTGTAGGTTGTGTTTGCCCTACTGATGTATGTGGTCTCCTGTAGGTTGTGATTGCCCTACTGATGTATGTGGTCTCCTGCAGGTTGTGTTTGCCCTACTGATGTATGTGGTCTCCTGCAGGTTGTGTTTGCCCTACTGATGTGTGTGGTCTCCTGTAGGTTGTGTTTTTTCCCCTACTGATGTATGTGGTCTCATGTAGGTTGTGTTTGCCCTACTGATATATGTGGTCATCTGTAGGTTGTGTTTGCCCTACTGATGTATGTGGTCTCCTGCAGGTTGTGTTTGTCCTACAGATGTATGTGGTGTACTGTAGGTTGTGTTTGCCCTACTGATGTATGTGTTCAACTGTAGGTTGTGTTTGCCCTACAGATGTATGTGGTCTCCTGTAGGTTGTGTTTGCCCTAATGATGTATGTGGTCTCCTGTAGGTTGTGTTTGCCCTACTGATGTATGTGATCTCCTGTAGGTTGTGTTTGCCCTACTGATGTATGTGGTCTCCTGTAGGTTGTGATTGCCATACTGATGTATGTGGTCTCCTGCAGGTTGTGTTTGCCCTACTGATGTATGTCGTCTCCTGTAGGTTGTGATTGCCCTACTGATGTATGTGGTCTCCTGTAGGTTGTGTTTGGCCTACTGATGTATGTGGTCTCCTGTAGGTTGTGTTTGCCCTACTGATGTATGTGGTGTACTGTAGGTTGTGTTTCCCCTACTGATGTATGTGGTGTACTGTAGGTAGTGTTTGCCCTACAGATGTATGTGGTGTACTGTAGGTTGTGTTTGCCCTACAGATGTATGTGGTCAACTGCAGGTTGTGTTTGCCCTACAGATGTATGTGGTCTCCTGTAGGTTGTGTTTGCCCTAATGATGTATGTGGTCTCCTGTAGGTTGTGTTTGCCCTAATGATGTATGTGGTGTACTGTAGGTTGTGTTTGCCCTACTGATGTATGTGGTCTCCTGTAGGTTTTGTTTGCCCTACTGATGTATGTGGTGTACTGTAGGTTGTGTTTGCCCTACTGATGTATGTGGTCTCCTGTAGGTTGTGTTTGCCCTACTGATGTATGTGGTGTACTGTAGGTTGTGTTTGCCCTACTGATGTATGTGGTCTCCTGTATGTTGTGATTGCCCTACTGATGTATGTGGTCTCCTGTAGGTTGTGTTTGGCCTACTGATGTATGTGGTCTCCTGTAGGTTGTGTTTGCCGTACTGATGTATGTGGTGTACTGTAGGTTGTGTTTCCCCTACTGATGTATGTGGTCTCCTGTAGGTTGTGTTTGCCCTACTGATGTATGTGGTCTCCTGTAGGTTGTGTTTGCCCTACTGATGTATGTGGTGTACTGTAGGTTGTGTTTGCCCTACTGATGTATGTGGTCTCCTGTAGGTTGTGTTTGCCCTACTGTTGTATGTGGTCTCCTGTAGGTTGTGTTTGCCGTACTGATGTATGTGGTCTGCTGTAGGTTGTGTTTGCCCTACAGATGTATGTGGTCTCCTGTAGGTTGTGTTTGCCGTACTGATGTATGTGGTCTCCTGTAGGTTGTGTTTGCCCTACTGATGTATGTGGTGTACTGTAGGTTGTGTTTGCCCTACTGATGTATGTGGTCTCCTGCAGGTTGTGTTTGCCCTACTGATGTATGTGGTGTACTGTAGGTTGTGTTTGCCCTACTGATGTATGTGGTCTCCTGTAGGTTGTGTTTGCCCTACTGATGTATGTGGTCTCCTGTAGGTTGTGTTTGCCCTACTGATGTGTGTGGTCTCCTGTAGGTTGTGTTTGCCCTACTGATGTATGTGGTGTACTGTAGGTTGTGTTTGCCCTACTGATGTATGTGGTCTCCTGTAGGTTGTGTTTGCCCTACTGATGTATGTGGTGTACTGTAGGTTGTGTTTGCCCTACTGATGTGTGTGGTCTCCTGTAGGTTGTGTTTGCCCTACTGATGTGTTTGGTCTCCTGTAGGTTGTGTTTGCCCTACTGATGTATGTGGTGTACTGTAGGTTGTGTTTGCCCTACTGATGTATGTGGTCTCCTGTAGGTTGTGTTTGCCCTACTGATGTATGTGGTGTACTGTAGGTTGTGTTTGCCCTACTGATGTATGTGGTCTCCTGTATGTTGTGATTGCCCTACTGATGTATGTGGTCTCCTGTAGGTTGTGTTTGCCCTACTGATGTATGTGGTCTCCTGTAGGTTGTGTTTGCCGTACTGATGTATGTGGTGTACTGTAGGTTGTGTTTCCCCTACTGATGTATGTGGTCTCCTGTAGGTTGTGTTTGCCCTACTGATGTATGTGGTCTCCTGTAGGTTGTGTTTGCCCTACTGATGTATGTGGTGTACTGTAGGTTGTGTTTGCCCTACAGATGTATGTGGTCTCCTGTAGGTTGTGTTTGCCCTACTGATGTATGTGGTGTACTGTAGGTTGTGTTTGCCCTACTGATGTATGTGGTGTACTGTAGGTTGTGTTTGCCCTACTGATGTATATGGTCTCCTGTATGTTGTGATTGCCCTACTGATGTATGTGGTGTACTGTAGGTTGTGTTTGCCCTACTGATGTATGTGGTCTCCTGCAGGTTGTGTTTGCCCTACTGATGTATGTGGTGTACTGTAGGTTGTGTTTGCCCTACTGATGTATGTGGTGTACTGTAGGTTGTGTTTGCCCTACTGATGTGTGTGGTCTCCTGTAGGTTGTGTTTGCCCTACTGATGTATGTGGTGTACTGTAGGTTGTGTTTGCCCTACTGATGTATGTGGTCTCCTGTAGGTTGTGTTTGCCCTACTGATGTATGTGGTGTACTGTAGGTTGTGTTTGCCCTACTGATGTGTGTGGTCTCCTGTAGGTTGTGTTTGCCCTACTGATGTGTGTGGTCTCCTGTAGGTTGTGTTTGCCCTACTGATGTATGTGGTGTACTGTAGGTTGTGTTTGCCCTACTGATGTATGTGGTCTCCTGTAGGTTGTGTTTGCCCTACTGATGTATGTGGTGTACTGTAGGTTGTGTTTGCCCTACTGATGTATGTGGTCTCCTGTATGTTGTGATTGCCCTACTGATGTATGTGGTCTCCTGTAGGTTGTGTTTGCCCTACTGATGTATGTGGTCTCCTGTAGGTTGTGTTTGCCGTACTGATGTATGTGGTGTACTGTAGGTTGTGTTTCCCCTACTGATGTATGTGGTCTCCTGTAGGTTGTGTTTGCCCTACTGATGTATGTGGTCTCATGTAGGTTGTGTTTGCCCTACTGATGTATGTGGTGTACTGTAGGTTGTGTTTGCCCTACAGATGTATGTGGTGTACTGTAGGTTGTGTTTGCCCTACTGATGTATGTGGTGTACTGTAGGTTGTGTTTGCCCTACTGATGTATGTGGTGTACTGTAGGTTGTGTTTGCCCTACTGATGTATGTGGTGTACTGTAGGTTGTGTTTGCCCTACTGATGTATATGGTCTCCTGTATGTTGTGATTGCCCTACTGATGTATGTGGTCTCCTGTAGGTTGTGTTTGCCCTACTGATGTATGTGATCTCCTGTAGGTTGTGTTTGCCCTACAGATGTATGTGGTCTCCTGTAGGTTGTGTTTGCCCACCTGGCTGACATGCTGGGCATCCTCATCACGCTGGATGAGATCATCGAGAACCATGCAAGTCTCAAGGATCACTGGACACTCTACAAGAGGTGAGTTGTGTTGGTGCTGGCTTCACCGTGCCTGCAGCATTCACTGATATATACAAGGAACTAGGAACACTTTTCTCCTGCCAAGTTGAATTAATTGTTGATATTTAGGGCTCCAAGCCGAAAGGCTGTAGAGCCCTATTGTAATCGTTCGATTTATTATTATTTATTATTATTATTAGGGCTCCCTGCCATCTTGGCAAGAGCCCTATTGTAATTGCTAAGTTTATTATTATTATTATTATTATTATTCCGCCGATTTTTGTTCCAATCCTACCTCCAAAACTGCTGACCAGAATCTCTTCAAAATTTCCACAAAGATAGCTTAGCTACTGAAGCAGATACCACAAAAATCCCAAGACTCTAGACTCAAAGACTAAGGGCAGATAACTCAAAACAACTTTAAAAATCGCGATTTCAACAGCTAATATCTCCTCCACGAAAGCTCCAAAGACATCCAAAATTCTTGAACTGGTGCGCAATCAGATGGCCAACAAATTCTCTACACATCCAATGTAGCGAAATTGCTTCGTTTGGCCTCCAGGTCGGATAAAGTGTTTTTTCACTGTTTTTAACAGATTTCTCAGTACTTGACTCCCAAAATCTCCTCAGCTGAAACTACCAGCTCGAAAGCTTCCAAACTCTCCACACTTTCGCTCCAAGTACCATACTAACAACTTCGCAAAAAGTATACGTATGTGATATGTTGTCCTGATAGCCCTTGTCCTTGCGATTCCAGAACACCAAACGGTTTGTCTGTAGCTCAACGGACAACGGAGCTACAGCTTTTTGAAAATGGCACTCTTTGGCCCAGGTCCATAAACTTGCCAAATAGCACAACTCTAAATACCCGTAGCTGAACTCTAAATACCCGTAACTCCGAAAGTACTCGTCCGATTTCGACCAGATTTGGTATATGTATATTCAGTGGGGATGTCTGCTACCACGACCAATTGTAGCGACATAGGAAATAAGACGACGGGGAGAGAAATTATGCATAATTTATGTATAACAACATCTTTCAGCATCTTGCTCCTAACCAGATCATTCTATAACTGGCAGACTAGGCAATCTTTAGTATTTACATGTGCAATTCGATATTGAAATGCAGTCACAAATCACAAATCCTACCTACATCAAACTCTTATTTCACATGTTCTGAAAATGTCATTTAGTGGGGGTGACATGAGTATTTTACGAACACTTCAAACATTTTTAAAAGTAAAAGACACTGAAAGAAGCAGCAGTAACATGACAAATAAGTCCCGTTCACTGCACTTCAATCGACAGCAATACTCGTGCATACGATTCCGTTCTCTTGGCGCTATACGCTACATTATTGTCGGTATAGGTTTATTTATATAACAAACTACAGTCTGTAGTACGTGAGCTTTGTGTATAGTTTTAGGCTATTGACCACAGAAATCAATTATCAGGGTCAAATGAGATACAGTGTTAAAACAGCTGATGGACAACGCAAGTAGAAACGGACTATAGAAATACATTTACGTTTGCGCTCGTACGTTCAACGGTTCTGTATAGAAACTTGGAGTAAATATCAACATCGCATGTTTTGTTATGTGAAAGCTCATATCTGCATCAATTGGCGCGAATTCACAATACACATTGTCAACAGACTTAAGCAAAGAACTGCGCATACATGTGTATTGGCCTCACAGCGTGCCAGCGTACCTCAGTCCCATGCGGCTGGGTCGGTCGGTCGGTCGGTCGGTCGGTTGCATATTGGAACGTGATCCACGTGCACGGGAATGGTATGGTGAGACAGCTATAGCGGGGTCGTCCGAGAGCCGCGTGTGGTGTGCTTCAGTCAAAACATGACCTACATCCCGCCCAAAGTGTTGCCTCCTTCATAAATGCTGTTCAGACTATGGGATTTACGGTAGGTTTGTGATTGAAAGTTTGATATCGCTGAACTCTCCGATTAATGTACTATCTTTTAAACGTACTTGTCATAATTTTCTTACTACCACAGACAGGTTCACTTCATGTTTCGACGATAGCAATTTCTATAGTCTGTTTCATTATGGATTTTCTTCACGCTGTTTTCAGTAGTCTCTGCTAGCAGAAAGCACGCATTTTGTACGTTTGTGATTGAAAGTTTAATATCGCTGAACTCTCCGTTTAATTTACTGGTACTTGTCTTAATTGTATTACCACAATTTCAAATAATAACAAGGGGCGGTCGGGTAGCCTAGTGGTTAAAGCGTCCGCTCGTCACGTCGAAGACCCGGGTTCGATTCCCGACATGGGTACAATGTGTGAAGCCCATTTCTGGTGTCCCCCGCCGTGATATTGCTGGAATATTGCTAAAAGCGGCGTAAAACCATACTCACTCACTCACTCAAATAATAACAGACCATTTATATGTTCACTTCGTTTCAATAGTAGCGACTTCTAGTCTGTTTCTGTATAGATTCTCTTCACGCTGTTTGTAATACATTCTGCCAGTGGAAAGTGCACAGTTTCCCGTACTTGTACACTAGATCCATTCAGTTGCTCCCTGTCTAAAAGGATCGTTGTACAACATGTTTGGTATTCTTCTTATAAAATGCCTTATTTTCCTTGGAACGGATTTCCGCACTATCAAATTAGCTTTTAATAATACGAACCTGTTCATTTTTGATAATTCCATTTTTTCCTGAAAGATCCCAGATATAATGCCAACTTTAAGGAGTATTATTTACCCAAATCATTATGGTTTAGAAACCAGTCCCTTTCTCAAACTACTTAAGTGCATTGATCTCCATTGTGTTTACAGCTAATCTTCTTTTAAACTTTGATCACAAACGCTTGGAAGACTTGTTGTTTTCTTAGCTGATTGGTTGAATTGCTTCAACAAGGAGATGACAAGAGGTGACCGACATGTGTTGTTACTGCTAGATAATGTCCCAAGCCATCTCATCCCTGAGCACGGGTCAAATTACAAGATCCATTTCCTGCATATTACAATAACAAGTCACCAACACCTCTGCATGCTGGTATCTTCCATACTTAACAGGTACAGGGCCAAAATGGGATTTTTTTTCTTGGTCAAAACGGACAGGTGAAATATCCTATTGATAATCCAGATCATATTATAGTCGTACACAGTATAGCATATATCCTTCAGCATATCCGAATGCTTTTATATAACAACAGGAGAAAATGCCTAAAGTAATAAATTAGTTTAATTAAGAACTCAGTTTCAATGGTTTTTAGTACTCTGTATAACCAAAGTGCAATTTTACAAAAGTACATCTATGAATAGAACAGGATCCGCTTCCACAATTCTTAGCAAGCGGGAGCCCGACATCGCTGCTTGCAGCTATATTTATTATTATTATTATTCCGCTGTATTTTGTTCCAATCCGAACTCCAAAACTACTGCTCAGAATCTCTTGAAATTTTGCAGCAAGATAGCTTAGCTACTGAAGTGATGCCCACAAAAATCTCAAGACTCTAGACTCAAGGACTAAGGGCAGATAACTCAAAACAACTTTAAAAATCGCAATTTCAACAGCTAATATCTCCGCCACGAAAGCTCCAAAGACTTCCAAAATTCTTGAACAGGTGCGGAATCAGATGCCCAACAAATTCTCTACTAATCCAATGTAGCGAAATTGCTTCGTTTGGCCTCCAGATCGGATTAAGTGTTTTTGCACTGTTTTTAGCAGATTTCTCAGTACTTGACTCCCAAAATCTGCTCAGCTCAAACTACCAGCTCAAAAGCTTCCAAACTCTCCAGACTTTGGCTCCAAGTACCATACTAACAACTTCAAAGAAAAAATTCTGAGATATGTCTTCAATGGCCGCCATATTGACTGCAACTTCCGGCTGAAAGTTATTTTCAAACTTTTTTAGGACATCTTTAGCAAGCTCTAGCATTGGGAACTTATCAGGTAAGGCACTTGAACAACTTCTGATGAGTCTTGCTTTGGTTGCTGAACAAGATCTATTCTTGCTCTTATGTCAAAAGTCACGTGATGTGGCGGCCATATTGGATTTTGCTAGCCTCTCATATTTTTACTTTGCAAACTACGTAGCTGCTAAAGTTCTTGATAGAAAGTGCTACAAATTACCACAATGCACCAGCATCAGACGCTGAACATTTCCTGTTCTTAGCTGTTTGTCAAAAGTTGCGTCATTTAGCGTCCATATTGGATTAAAGACCGTGAAAATGCCAAAAGTGATAAAAACGGCACAAAATAGCATATATCTCCGCCAAAATTGCTCCAATAGCTACCATATTTTGCATGTGACACCGTCATAAGATAGCGATCATTTTCGATCCAGGCCTAAAAATGGATATTTCCAGCCGTTTGGCCGCCATCTTGGATTTAAGGTTTTTGTCGTCAGGTTGCCATGGAAACCAACTTTGACAACGGAATGCAGTGATATTCACAGCACTATTAGATACAGAACATGGGAAGATGTCTGCAAAGTTTCAGCTTTGTAAGTTAGATAGTTCGTGAGAAAATGACAAAACAGAGTTTTGGTGGACAGACGCGCGGACGGACGGCGGACATGCATATCATCAAAATTTACCTATACATATGTTAGAACTGGTCGGGGTAATGCATAATTAATACCCACTTCCATGATACATGCAATAACAGTCGCGTGAGAGCTCGCCCCAAAAAGTACATTTTCGTTTAACGGACCACCTAAATGACCTTGACCCCGTGACCTTGGTGAATTTGAATTTTTTTAAATGGTTTTAGTCCAGCTACCCGATCCCGGGGTCAAAAGTGCCAAAATCGCAAAAAAAAAAAAATCTTATTAGGGCTCCCTGCCATCTTGGCAAGAGCCCTATTGTTATTGTTAGATTTATTTATTATTATTATTATTATTATTATTCCGCTGTATTTTGTTCCAATCCGAACTCCAAAACTACTGCTCAGAATCTCTTGAAATTTTGCAGCAAGATAGCTTAGCTACTGAAGTGATGCCCACAAAAATCTCAAGACTCTAGACTCAAGGACTAAGGGCAGATAACTCAAAAC